AGCTTGAAACGCGGCATGATGCGTGGCGAACAAGGCGAGAGCCGTGTTCTCCTCCAGCGTTGACCAAACGAGGCGCGCCACCGCCGACAACGACTCCATAGCCTCCACCACCATGGTTCACCGTCGACTGTTGGGATAGTTTTGTCCGTGTGTAGACTACGATAGCTAGCTATCTTTTTTTTTGAAAATTTAAAACATCCATTGCAGCACAAATAGTTTACAAACGGGTTACAAAGATAAATAGTTAAAAAGGTGTAAAACTAGAAAATGTGGTTCCATTGCCTTTTGATGATGTCGTTATGAATTTTGAACACTTAACATCACCATGCTATTACAGAAAATGTTGAGCTTTAGATTTATCTTTGCATCACATGATTTCTTGCAATTAAAACTTGTTTTTATTGTAATAATTAATCTGCTAATTCTGGGCATGTAATATTTTTACAGTAGCTATGCTTTGTTATCATCTATCACCCATAGAAATCTCAGCTTCAAATTAAATGTTTGGTACACCACCAAATAATAATGGGTATGTTTTAACTATTTATTAACTATTATACAAGCATAAACCTAGGTAAATCAATAATTCAGCCATACATGCTCCAATGAAGCTGAATTTTTTACCATAGCTCAAGCGTACAATTAGTAGCCTACCATATAAATTTTACTACAAATAGAGCACAGGAGCTGCAGCTATGAATTAAACACAGAAACACATAGATCTAAATAGATCTACAGCTACAACAAAAACTTTAAACTAAAGCATATCATATTATATATCGATTGCATAGATATACTCATGTGGAGTTTAACAAAACTAGAATTTCCTTTTTACGATTTTTCTATGATTTTATATAATTTTTGAAAGTTTCAGCCATTTTATGAAATAAAAAAAGAGAGCATGTGGCGCCACATCAGCGGTCACGTAGGCAACAGTTGGATGGCGGCTTGGACATAGATAAAGTTGTTTATGGACCTAGATGAGCGAAAAAAAGTTAATGATCCTAGGTGAAAAATAAAGAAAAATTTACAGACGCACATATAGTACGTATACGCCACCCAATGTATCATATGTTTTTTTTCACTCTTGTCAGTTTATTTCAGGGGTCTTGCTCGGCATGACTACCAGTGCCGTGTCGTCGCAGTGTTGACATACGTACAAGTACAACTACAAACTAAGGTTGGAATAATAATGCAGCATCCAAATAAGAGTAGCGCTAGCTTTTCTAAACTTCTACTACAACAGTGCTGCAAACTAAAAGAATGATGGTGACAATTATCAGGATACAATTAATCATGACAAGGGATGAGCCAACGCAGCAGAGCATTATCGACCGCATATTTAGGGGGGGCACCTGTTGATGCAAACGTTAACATAAATGGGTATTTAAATGGTAGTATTTAATTTAGATAACATTCTCCTCCTCCTATCAATCCTTGCAAGGGGCTAATGACACCCTACCTAGAGCGATGGAAATGTGTCAACAGATACAGATAGGACAAAGCCGCTCTAGCTATCCTAGCCTAGCTGCGTGTTGTTTTTCTAAAAGGCATCGCCACATCAATGTTGTGTAGTGTAGGCCCGGGGATGAAAATAAACAAGACGTTCGTAGTACCCACTTGGTAGGGTCTCTTGATTCCAAAAGCTAGCTTAACCATCTTCAACACACTTTTCCTTCATTCCAATGCAATTTAGCATAAATGCAGGTTTAAGAGATGTCAACGCTGTGTGGAGTAGTACGTCTTGCGCTCATCACTGTAAATACACCACTAGTCCACTACTCCGATCCAAATGTACCTTAGGTTGTTTAATTAAGATTTGTCTAAAGTCAACAAAAAATAGTTTTAACCACCAATAGCTACAATTCAAAATAGATTTACAATATAAAGCTGATGCAGGAATTTAGAACTCACCATTATAAAAAAAGAATAATTTTGGCTGGAAATTAGCAACGGTATAGAAGATTATTCTTGCTTGGACTTTCTTTCCTACATCGCTTTTTTGTCTTCTTTGTGTGCATAGCCTCAGTGCTATTTGATCTATATCGTTGGGCTATACACATTCATGTGTGAATGTGGAGGCCAAATTGTTTTCCTTTATATAAAAGACATAAAGTTCATGCTATTGGATTCATCATGAAAGATACATAATTATAGCTATTTAAAATATTATATATTATATAACAATTACTAGGCAAAGTTTAACCTTGTAGATCATGTCAATGTCAAAAATGACTTACACATGGGATTAATGGGGATTGTATTTATGATTAGATGATTGTTTGTGGCTCTACATGAGGGAAAAATAATTGTGATCACCCAGTAAGGGCCTACAACAATGAAAACATCCATCCATCCCTAATTAAATCAAGTCTAGCTTAAAACTTTGTCCCATATTAAATCGGTTAGTAGGAGAGCCAGTCGGCCCCACTTTATTTTCTCCTTGGAGCCATTGTCACATTAACCACACCCACCTGTCTTCTGTGTCCTAACCTTTGTGCCCATAATCCCCCCCAATCCACAAGCCCTCAAGAATATTGAATTTACTCTTGGATACACCAAACTACACCACACGCCAACCGCTGCATCTTAATTGCTCACCCTGGCTTGTGGTGTAGTTCGGTGTATTCAAGCGTAAATTAAATGTTCTTATGGACTTGAGGATTTGGGGAACTATGGGCACAGAGATGAGAGATACACAAGATATAGAGGTGGGCGTGGTTAATGCATCGGTGGCTCCAAGAAGAAAGTAAAGGGGGCCAGTGACGGACCTAGGTTTTTACCTCTGGGTATACGCAGCAAAAAAAAAATTCTTATGCAATTCGGTAAACCATATATAATTTGATAAAACCATATTCTCATTCGGTAAAACCATATTCTAAAACCATATAAATTAAAAGATTAAGCTACAAACGACGATAAATCTCGATATAAATTGTTCAAATGAAACACAAATAATTCATAATATAGAATCGATCTGTTTGGAACTTTCGGTTAGAAAACTCACAAGTCACAGGATATGATGGACTAATGATCGGATGTTAATTATTGATCCGATGCAAAAGATGCGGATGAATGAACTCACGAACCGGAAAAATGACTCATACATAAATAATTAAAACTATTTAAGTACATAAGTAAGAAGAAGAATAGAAGATTAATCTTAAACTCTACTCTGCATTTTGTCTCGAGATCTCTATAGAAAAGCGGCAAGCCACCGAGACGATAATTCTTGCAGTCCTCCGGCGTCGGGCTTTTCGCCAAAAAAAAAAGTCTGGTGAGTCGGCGATCGTCGTGGCGGCGTGGGCGGGGCGCGCGTGGCGCGTCGTTCCGTGATGGCGTCGGCGTGACTGCTGCGGATTCGACTCTGCCGCTTGCGAGTTGCGACGATCCAAATGGATGGTTGCGGCGGTGCGCGTGAGTCAATGCGTGGGACCGGTGGGGTTTCGAGCGAGTGGAGCGGAATAATCTGCGCAACAGCCGTATCGCTGAATTGGCGTTCAGTGTGCCGCTACTAAGCAAATGGCTGGGGCGTCGGGTACTCAAAGCGTGTCTACCAGGTAGTAAGCTTTTTCTTTTTTTCTTACATAAAAATTTATATTCTGATTCACTTACACCTGGACCCCAGGGTATGCCGTGGCCCACCCAGCATACCCTGTGGGTCCGTCCATGAAGGGGGCCATGGATCTTCTCCCCCCTATGAATGAATCAATTTAACATGGGACAAAGCTTTAGGCTATAAATCGATTTAATCGAGATAGAGAGAGTAGAGAAGGGTGTTTGAATGCTTCATAGCAAAATAGGAAAAAAATCATTTGAAGAAGAATCTCTTCGCAAAAGAGCAAGAAAGAGGACCTGCAGCTTTACGGAATGCCTCCGTGCATGAAGTTTGAGCAAATACTTGCATTTTGATGACAATTATAGAAAAAGATTCTCGTAAGAAAAAAATTAGGAGGGATTTTTGAAGGCCCTAAACAAAAAAAGGTTAAAAAGAAAAGAGGGATCAGTAAGAGGGGAAAAAGAAATATATTAAAACATATATAGCCTCTATGACCAAATAAATGGTATGATGGATGATAGGTACGGAAATGAGGCGCAGATGAAACACTGTAAATTAACACGGATTTGATTGAATCAAGTAATTGCCATTGTATAAAACGCTGGATGCCCTTACCAACTGGTCTGTCTTTTTCAAATCCCTCCTTGCTTGGTTTCATCGAATTCATTAATGATGGCCAAACTTTAGTTATATGTATTGTCCCCACCCGATATTCCACTAGGCTTTTGACAAGCCAAAACCGAGTTGGTTATCTGTACTGTCCCCACCCGATATTCCACTAGGCTTTTGACAAGCCAAAGCACACAGCTAGCTTGTGTTTACATTTTTCATAATTAATTAACACTTGAATATCCATGCATATATATAGGAACCATAGCTATGAAAATTAAATTTTGCTTAGAGAATGTCTACCTTATACTATTACAGCCCCTATTCGTTTCGCTGAAATTTGGTTTATGCTGATGCTTATACTAAAATACTGTGAGAGAAAAACAATGAATACTGCTGAAATAGTGCAGCAGAACAGTGTCGATCTCTACTCCCATCTTGATTGCGACAGTTTATGAGAGATGTGAAAAAGGTCTGACATCGGTCTCACCAGAGATGAGTTTGTGCTTAATTAGGGTTTAATCTAACCGTTTTAAATTTCACACCAGCACAGTCCACGCAAAAACGAGCCGTTTGACTTTGCATGGCTGCTGATCCGATCCTGTATTCCTGCGCCTGCCCTCCGGATGCAACAAACGTGCACCAGATGGCTCGCTCTTTTTAAGGCCTCTCCATTCACCTCCTTCCTCCTCGCCCGAGCCAACACACGACAGCCTTTTCCTTCCGCAACACCCACCACCCACGGGCGCAGGCGCAGCAGCCTCCGATCCGGCGGCATCGATCTCCGCACTGCTCGCTCCCGCCCCCGCCCCCGCCAGAGCAGAAGCCTTCCATGAGGGTGTTACTGTCGCGCCGGCGCGGCGCCGGCCGCATGCTGTGCATCAAGAAGAAGGCCCGCGGCTTCATGTGCGGCTGCGGCGGCACCAAGGCTGTCTCCATCTCTGACGGCTCGTCCGAGAAGTCAGCAATGGCCACGCCGCAGACCGCCGCGTCGACCACTCCGCTTACCGCCATGTCCACCACCACCACGACCAAGTCGACGAGAAGAGGAGGGAAGAACATGCCGGTGCCGGCGAAGACAACATCAACCACGGAGGCTCCCTCCTCGTTCTCATCCTCGCCTTTCTACGCGGACACCACTGACGACGGCGGCCCCAGCAGCATGGAGAGCACGCCCAGCCTGTCGACGCTCCTGCGCCAGCTCGGCGAGCTAGAGCGCAGCGTCCGCTTCCTGCACACCGCGGGTCCCGCGCCCGCCGGCAACGGGGCGGAGGCCGGCGCCGGCGTCACTGATGGCAAGCAGCAGAACGGCGGCGGCAGCCGGCGGCACCACCGTCGGACCGTGAGCGAGGGCTGCGGCGGGTCCGGGCGGGTGGAGGAGAGTGTGGCGGTGGTGAAGGAGTCGGCGGACCCGCTGGGCGACTTCCGCCGGTCCATGCTGCAGATGATCGTGGAGAATGAGATCGTGGGCAGGGCCGAGCTCCGGGAGCTGCTGCACCGGTTCCTGTCCCTCAACTCGCCGCACCACCACCACCTCATCCTCCGCGCCTTCGCCGAGATCTGGGAGGAGGTCTTCGCCGGGTACGAGCGCACGCCGGACTTGCTCGTCTCCCACCGCAACAAGAAGCATCACCTGACAACGCGTGGTGTTTGATTCGTCTGTTCCTCCATCGATCGGTCGATCCGTCCATTTCTTGTTCGTGGAATCATGGGCTCGTGGCTGGGCGGACGAGACTGCAAGGTTTTCGGTAGTTTTTTTTTTTCCGTCGATTTCTTGACGCATTGGTATCAAGCATTCAACAAGCGTGCTGTGTACAAAAGATTGAACGGACGAGACGTACTGCAAGGTTTTCAGTGGGGTTTTTGTCGATTTCTTGGCGTATTGAAATCATGCGTGCTGTACTGCTGTGTACTCCCTCAGTCTAGAGAAAAATGTAATTCTCATTTTTTTTAAAAAAAATCAAATAATCTTAAATTTGTAAAAAATAGTGACAGATATGCTTGTTATAAGATAACATCAGAATATATTTTCATTATGAACAAACTTATTTAAATATATAAATATTGATATTATTTTCTATAAACTCAATTAGATTTAAGACAATTTAAATCAAGAATTACATTTTTTGTTTGAACGGAGGAAATACAAACGACTGAGCGGATGAGCCGGCAGGAATACCGAAAGGCTCCACGCAACAAGTTTTGCCTTGTTTTTCTAAGCTGCCTGCAGACTTTCAGTGTAGAGATAGTGCGCGTGTTTTTTGTCCTCCATGCACGAGTACGACGTCGCTTTTAGCCGTTGCATTCGTGAAGAATTGACGGACCACGCGACGCAGGACGCAGTGCACGGGAAGAGGGAGGGAGAAGGCGAACAAGATACTACCGGTGGAATTGGAAATGACCAAACGGCCGGAAAGGCGCCGCCCATGATCCCCGGGGCGCTTGACTCGTTGCTGCGCTACTAGTGGGGGTTCGCTCCGTATAGTACTACTACAACGGGGGCGCGCAGTCATCTCCTCGGCCCCCGCGACTGGCCGGCCAAAGGGCCCAGAAAAATGCTGCACGGCCCGGCCCACTCCGCTTCGCCGGCGACAGCCGCCGCCGCCGCCGTGCAGCCGCTGGTGGTGGCGCTCAACTGCCTCGAGGACCCGTCGCTGGAGCAGGAGGCCCTGTCGGGCGCCGCGGCCGTGGAGCACGCGCGCCGCTCTCTCGGCGCTTCTGCTGCGAAGCGCGTCGAGCCGCCGCCGCCGTGCTTTGCTCCGTCGCTCGCCTTCCTCCCGCGCGCCCGCGCGCGCGAGGCTCCGGCCGTGGCAGCTGCTGCCGCTCGCCTCGCTCGCCCGACCCAGCGCCCAGCGACGCCGCCGCCGCCGCCGCCGAGCTCGGCCTCCGCCTCGCGTCCACGCCGACGCCAACCGCGCCGAGGAGGAGGTCGCCGACACCGTCATGGCGCTCTTCCTGGGCCTCCTCCGCCGCACCCACCTGCTGTCCCGCCACGCCTCCTCGTCGTCCCCGACCGCCGGGTGGCTTCGGCTCCGTCTGACCATTGCTGTGCGGGGCATCGCGACGATGCAGGGGCTCGTCTTTGGGCATCATCGGCGTCAACGCCGCCGCGCGGTGCCTCGCCACTGATCCCGCTAGGGTTTGTTCCCGATCTTTCGATGAGAGGTGTGGGATAACTCGATTTGGGGATGGAGATGACGTTCACGGTCCGACTACAGCCTTCCAAGCTGCGCCTTAGCAACCGATACACCACCTCCAACAGCTGCCGCGATCTTGTGGAGCGCGATCAACCAAACCACTAGGGTAATTCCTGTAAGCAATCGAGGAACAAGCAAGAACAAGTAGAACAAGCAACTCAATTGCAAATATGGAGATGAAAACCAATCTGAAATCACAAAGTTGGGGTTCTGAATCGAGTAGAATGGATGGTCTAGTCGACACACGCGTCTACAAGGAAGTAGCAATGGCTAAACTTTCAACAAACAAAACCCAACTGTTCTTGGTGGCGGCTAAGAAGGGGAGAATGATGAGGACATCACCTGCTCGGATATAACCACATTGGCGACTTTTGATTCACATGTGAAACAATTCTTTATCATGATTGTATTTGATACATTTGATGAATTGATGCTGCACCATGATGTGTGTTCATTCTCATTTTCAGAATTACTTACATGGATCAAGGGAAGGTTTGATTGCATATGGAAAGCATGGAAGGTTAATGAAGTTGATTGGGGACCAAATCCAAGTATTCCTAATGTCCTCCACTAGGCCACCACGTCGCTTTGGTTCCAAGGACAGAAAGAGTCTTAGTACAACACGTTTTGGAAGTTGAATTCGGACTGCAAAATAGTCCCAAATTGCGACGGTCGCCACGACTTCATACGGACTCCGATTGGGACGTTCTAGCACTTTTTGGAAAGCTTATCAAGTCTATTTTCCAACGGATCTGGACTCATGGCCATATCTTATTCGATGCTTCTGCAGTCGTCGTTTCAACGCCGGGACCTTTTCTGCCTTTGGTGCTGCGTCACCCTATTTTGGGCCGATGACCCATGTATCAAGTTGGGTCCATTAGGGACACGTCCTAGGGTTGGAGAACGACCCCAACACCCCCTGGTCGTTCCCCTATGTATTAATAAGGATTAGAGCCGCCACAAACAGATTGGGTTTTGTTTGTTGAAAGTTTAGCCATTGCTACTTCCTTGTAGACACGTGTGTCGACTAGACCATCCGTTCTACTTGATTCAGAACCCCAACTTTGTGAGTCAGATTGGTTTTTCATCTCCATATTTGCAATTGAGTTGCTTGTTCTACTTGTTCTTGCTTGTTCCTCGATTGCTTACAGGAATTACCCTAGTGGTTTGGTTGATCGCGCTCCACAAGATCGCGGCAGCTGTTGGAGGTGGTGTATCGGTTGCTAAGGCGCAGCTTGGAAGGCTGTAGTCGGGCCGTGAACGTCATCTCCATCCCCAAATCGAGTTATCCACCTTCTCTCATCGAAAGATTGGGATTCACCCTAGCGGGTTCATATCAGCCACCCGCAGCCTTGCCTTCCGCATGAGCGTCCTCTACTTCGATCCGCTGTACGAGGTACCGGATCCGCCGCTAATACACTTCCATCCTGTGATCTGCGCTGCTATATTCCAGTTGCCAGTTTTGTTGTTCTAGCCTTCTAGGGTTCAAATGCCGCTGGGCGCCGTGACCCGTGTGCATTATTAGTTAACGTGATTTGGAATTTCTCAAACGTGTTAGCAGATAATTGCTCACTAGTTTCCTGCGTCCTTTCATGTAAAGGTGATCTGCGTTTTGGCTTCTAGTGTATCAATCACACGCCTACTTGTAGATTTAGTGGTCCTATTTTGTTTTTTTTGGCCTCGTTGTTGGGCATTAGTTGAACTTCTGGCATGATTATGTTCATGCAGATTGATTTCTGGCAACCAGTATGCTGGAGGTTTATTAGTACCTTTTTCAAAGTATATATGGATCTGAATGTGCTGTGGGTTTGCCTGAACACCTAGTCAAACACTTTGAGAGCTTGACTCTTTTTTCTACCTTTCCACAAGATCTTAACTAGAGAAATTTACATTCAAATGACCATATAAAAACATGTGTTGCCATAAGTAAGTCATAGTCAGGTTGATTTGGTTTCAAAAATAAAATCAGTTTAGAATTATATCCTCAGTTCTGGTACTTTTACTGCAAATTCATAACATTGCTGCAGTTGTATAAGTCTTCATGGTGTTTCTGGATTATTGGCACATGTAATATCGGTAATGAAGTTAAAGCACGATATAGATCTGACCTTGTTAATTGTAATGACATTATGTGAAGGTTACTGGGAAAGTAAAGCGTCCTTCTATTGTATTTCCTTCTGCTGCAAGAAGAATGGATACTCTCAATGATTTGTTAGCAGCAAGTGATCTTGTTTCGCTTCATTGTGCATTGACAAATGATACAACACATATACTTAATGCTGAGCGCCTTCAGCACATAAAACCTGGTAAGACATGCCTTACTTGCTTCCTTGTTTTTTTTTCTTTCTGTTTTAGCCCCTCCTTTTGGCAGTCTCATGCTCTCTGCATTATAATTAGTTTTCTGTTTTCTTCTTCGTGCTATAAGCCTATAATAACACACTGTGGGTGACTACCTTCTGAATGTCGCAGGAGTGTTCATAGTCAACACTGGTAGCTGTCAGCTCATAGATGATTGTGCACTCAAACAACTCTTGATTGATGGCACTATAGCTGGATGTGCATTAGATGGCGCTGAAGGCCCCCAGTGGATGGAAGCATGGGTATGAAACTGGTTTGTTCTTCCCAATAGGCTTCCTTTGGAATTTTGCTTTTACCAAAGTATCTGTTCCATTTCATTTAGCATTTTTAGCTTATCCAGTTCACTCTATTGCTCCCTGTTTAACATACACGAATGGCTCTGTCATCATGGGGATAGGGAAAAATTCAAGCGTTACATCAATAGGAAACTTGGTCTTTATACTCTATGGAGTTTTTCTAGTTTTAGACTATACAAGCAGCTTCTAGCTCTTAGTTCCAAAAGAATGGAAAAATTAAAAATGGTGTCCTATCAGAGATAAGGATAGGCAACTGATGTGCAATATGGTTTCCTTAACTCTGTGCACTTGTGATGCTTGCTTTACTCATTATACGCCAATAGGAAAGTCACCTTTCAACAAATTATTTAATACTAATTATGTGTTCATTGATTGCACAGGTGCATGAGATGCCAAATGTATTAATTCTTCCTCGAAGTGCAGACTACAGTGAGGAAGTGTGGATGGAGATTAGAGAGAAAGCAATCTCAATATTGCAGTCCTTTCTCTATGATGGTGTTGTTCCAAACAATGTTATTTCTGATGAGGATGAAGAGATAAGTGAAGTGGGATGTGACGATGATCAACTTGGTAAACAAGAAAAAGAACATGCTTTACAGATTTGTGATGGTGAACAGCAAACAGAAGAAAGCCAATTAACTGCAGAATATGACAAGAGAAGAGCCATTTCGCAACCTGAAGAGCCTCAAGCTTCTGCACAATCTCATAGTATTGGCTCCAGATCTGAAGGGAGGCGCAGCCAATCTGGAAAGAAAGGGAAAAAGAGACCTGCTCGCCGCAGATCACAACAGAAAATGGATGAATTGTCAACTGTAGAAGGTGGAAGTAACTATTCTTCACGCAGAGACGATGATAACCAAGTGTTAAGTTCTAGTTCACGATTTGCATCGCCTGAGGACTCCAAAAATAAACATAAGTCTTCTGTTGAATCTCCAATGGAGATAATTTCTGAAAATAAGTTGCCTGCAGGGCTTGGTAGAAAGCCTCCTGAGAAGCTAAAAGAAGGTTTTGTTATTGCTCTAAAGACAAGAGATACTTCAGGTTTTTATGTTTCAAGAGAGAGGGTCGCTGGTGGTGGATGGTATCTTGATGTGATACCAAATGCTACAAAGAGGGATCCTGCTGCTCAGTTTCTAGTCACTTTCAGAAACAAGGTATTGTTATTTTTCTTGCCTTTCTTTATCCTTTGTTTTTACTTGAACCGCCAATTTGGATACTGTACACATACAGATACTGATAATATGTTTTATGCTCTTTAGGACACTATGGGACTGCGATCTTTTGTTGCTGGAGGCAAACTATTACAGGTATCGCCTTTTAAATTACTGTTATTAGAAAGTGAGCTCAGTATTCATATGTTTTCATAGTTAGTGAAATAGGGAGGATACTAGGTAAGCACGTATTCTGTGTTTGTGTTTGGTAGCTTGTGACTGATGAATGTTATTGAGCATATGCATTCACATCTGTATTGATCTTACGATTATTGGCACCTTTGTTCCTTGCTCACAGTTATCTACTCGAATGCATGATTTGTTACAGTGTTGCTATCTGCTAAACTGCTCTCCTTGCCTCATCCTTTTAGTTGTTTTTGATGATGTACATGTGTATGTTTTCATGCTTGCTCCATATCTGCAACTTTAAAAGGTTGAGAAATGGAACTACCAGGTTTCGTTTGTACTAAATCACCCATGATCCATATAGCCCCATATTCGGTGTAGTCGGAACTGAGAAGATACATATATACCCCCAAAGTTTCGTTGATGTTGTGATGTTTCTAAATGTTGGACTGGCTTTTATTGCATTGTTAGGCTAATAATAAGATGGAGTTCGCCTTCACAAGTCATTCTTTTGATGTTTGTGAGAGCTGGATGCTAGAAGGGTCCCTTTCAGAATGCTGCAAACTGGTTAATCGCAAAAATTCTTTGGTACGTTCATTTGTCACTGCCATTCTAAGCAAGATGAACTTAACATACACAAATATCCCCATTAGTTAGACGAAATGAAATACTTGCATTGATTCTATGTGTTGTTTATACCTTTCCCGGTGGTTAAATTTAAATTTTTCTGTAGGCCGTACTTGAAGTCTATATTGAGGTCCTTGGAGCTCCGAGTGAAGATGGTGTCGTTCGGTGGCTTGATTAATACATCGGGGGTCAGGGCTATGCTATATTTAGAGAACACTTTAAGGCTATGTTATTTCTAGAGAACAATTTAGGACTATGCTGCCAAAGCCACTGGCCCACTGTTGTCCTCGGGTTAGGTCTTCTCTGTGTTTCCTCTTGCCAAGTCTCAGTTTTGGTTGTTGTTCTACTGCATGGACCCGCAGCGCAGAGTCATTGAATTTTTTTTGACTGTCTGCTTGTTGTAAGTTGTGTCTGTAATTTAATTATATACAGTATGACAAGCACAGTCACTACTCCTTCAGACTGTTCGCTTGAGCTTATTCAGAACTACTTTTCAGCCATGGAACAGTGTTTTTCTCTCACAACATTTCAATATAGGCATCAGCATAAGCTAAATTTCAGCATCAGCGAACAGGGTGATTGTCTTTTTACTGAAAGGTAGGATCAATGTATACCCCCAATGAATTTTACATGATCACTTCAGTAGCAAGGTGCACAGGATTTTCAGCCTCATGTCCTACCAGCCAGTCATTTCTTCATCTGCTTGGCCTTAGTCTTGTCCTTCTCCTTCTGGATCTCTTCCTGCCATAGCACGGGCCAGTTGGCCCGGGCCTCGTCGATGCCGAGCAGCGAACCTTCCTTGTCGGGGTCCCAGCTCGCCGACAGCGTGCCGTAGGCGATGCCCAGCGCCGACGTGCCGAAGGCGACGAGGATGGTGAGCAACGGCACCCACGACGGCAGCACCACCCCCTGGCCGCGCTTGAGCGCGTCGTACACGTTGAGCAGCGCGACGCCCGACGCCATGGGAAGGCCCACCGTGAACGCGATCCGGCGCAGGATGCGGTCGAACACCGGCTGCGGAAGCTCGTCGTCGTCGTCGACCTCGCCGTTGCTGTTGCTGCTGCTGCTGCTGCCGCCGGTGGTGCCGCCGTCTCGCTTCGCGAGCGACTCTTCTTCCATCATCAGGAGCTGCTGCTGCCGGTCCTGCAGGTCCTGCTGCCGCCGCCGCTCCTGCTGCTTCTCCTTCCGGGTGGTCTTCTTGGACGACGGCGCCGCCTCGCCGGTGCCGAAGCTGCTGTCCGTGGCCGCGGAGCGGATGGTCGGGGCGCGTCGTCGTTTTGCGAGTGGTGAGAGGCTGGATGTTGTGGAGTAAAGAGCCCATGGGTGGGGTGGTTTTGCGGTCGGGAGTAAGGCGGCCATGTCTGATGTCTATCCTCCGCGTGGTTCCACCGTGGAAGACGACGACGACAACGACGACGAGCTCTCTCGCCCGGTATGGTGTTTCAGCGCGTGGTTTTCGCCGGACCCATGATAAATGGGCTTATCGCCTTGAGCGAGTTGTGGCGCGTAGTGCGTGTGCCGGAGATAAGATAATGCTTTTGGTTTTGATGAAAGAATATCTCGTGTGGACCCACGGAAAATATCTCGTGTCAGGAAGCGCAGGCCCACCTGATAGTGAAAAAGGCGATGCTCTTTTTTGAAAGATAAGAACAGGCCGCTGTCGAAGCTGGCGGTCCTGGTGCCGACGCAGTGCGCTTCGAATCCCGCCGGCGATGACGACGACCACCGGTACAAGAGGCGTTCGCAGCATCACGATTCACGAATTCACACCCCTCTGGTGCGCGGCTAGCGAGCAGCAGTCGAAAGCACGCTGAGCGAAACGTTACTGACACTGCGGGCGGTGGGGGTGGAATGGTGGATGACAGGAACAACGACGGTCGACGCCGCCGCCTACGGGCTACGGCCGCAGGGTCTGAGTTGCTGCTGCGCATCTGCTAGAACACGGCCTTTTCGTGTAAGCCATCTGAGGTTTGCATCAACCGACCATGCAAGCTAAGCCCGATCAATCGAGGCCAGAGCGGTTCATTCAGGTCCGGCGCAGCGCCATGTGATGGCTCGTGCAGGTGCAGCGGAAGCAAGGAGTCGTAAACGCACTAGTTTCTTCCTTCACAAAGTGGCAACTGGCAAGGCAGAGTGTACCTTTGTTAGGTTTAGATCATGCAAAAGAGGGGCTGACAGAGGATTAGGCTCTGTTTGGATGAATTAGGACTAGTGATTAGTTCAGTCATGTTTGGATTCCTAGGCTAATAAGTACTACCATCTTACCCCTGAACCTCAGCCAAGCGGACCACTGAATCGGAACCGCGCAGTCCTGCCGATCTGTGAACTGAAATGGATACAATCTTACAACGCAATAGATTACAACTTGTGCCAAAACATTTTGCTATTATTAGCATCCCAGTGTCCCAGACTATAGCCCTGCCTCCCATCACGGCATCACCTGCTGCGTTCGCGTTCGTAGCTATCTGACTCCCGAGGAGACAGATCCCGCGCGAGCTTGAATTCCTGCAGGACACGCATTTTCAAATCAAAGTGGTTAATATCAGAACGAGAACACTGTGAAGCTCAAGCTTTACATGGGTTCTGGCGTACGTCTCTGAGAATCTGGTCGTCTTCGAGCATATGAACCACATGCGGCATGGTGGGTCTCTGGCTGCCGTCCGGGTCGACGCACCGGAGCGCGGCGAGGACTGCCCGCTTCAGCGCCTTGGACGGAGGCGGCTCCGGCAGCCTCGGGTCCAGCACCTCCTCCACCCTCCGCTCCGCGACCATGCGCTTCAGCCACTCCACCAGGTTCACCTGAAGGGAGAGACAGCAGCAACAATTTAGCATTGCCACAGAATGGATTGGCTCGGCAGCCATGGGAGCTGGCAGCCCACCTCATGGGTTGGTCTAGTGTAGTCCACTGGAGTCCTGCCGGTTATGACCTCCATCACGAGTACTCCGAAGCTGTACACGTCGCTCCTCTCGTTCAGCATTCCGGTCTTGGCGTACTCCGGTGCCACATACCTGCAGTGCAGCAAATGCAGTAGCCGATAATGAACTCGAACAACAGCCCTCCCTGCGAAAACAGAGGAAACCAACACAACACTGACCCGAACGTTCCCATGACACGAGTGGTAATGTAGGATCTCTCAGAGCAGAGAAGCTTGGCGAGCCCGAAATCCGACACCTTGGCGTTCCACTGCCGGTCCAGGAGAATGTTGCTGGATTTGATGTCGCGGTGAACTATCCTGGGCTCCAGACCCTCATGGAGATAGGCCAGCCTGAAACGTCAGGAATTGTACATGAGAAGCTGCACGATTCAGTTTTCGATGGTAGTAATAACAAATTAGGTACAGAGTAGAGAGGGCCAGACAGGCAGACAATGTTGCTTTCAGACGCAGCTTGCTACTACTTCCCTAATCATGCCCATTAAACAGGCAAACTAGTACTGTTGCGCTGTGTCAACAAAGTTTTAATGTTTTCTGGCCATCATAACTTCAGTCCGGACATTAGATGGGCAGGCAAACTAGTACGGATAAAGCAAAGCAAAAGAAAGCGTTACCCTTTAGCCGTTCCAAGGAGTATGCGCATCCTGATGTCCCAGGTCAGTGGGCTGATTTCACTGTCATCATGGTGCAGCCACCTATCCAGATTACTGTTCTCCATGTACTGGTAAACAAGCATCCTGATGATGGGGGGACACAACAACTCTTTGGATCAAAATACTGTCAATGTGGTTCAATCATGTCTCGTTTAAACTGAATGGTGATTTGCATTGTACCTGCAAGCTCCCTCGCTGCAGTAGCCGAGTAAACCGACCAGGTTCTTGTGCCGGACGCGCCCGATCGTCTGAACCTCCATCCTAAAATCTTTCTCGGCCTGACCCCTGATTATAAGTATATAACAACTGATGATTTTATTTTCTTTCTTTAACTGATGAATGGTACGATCACTGGCGTGGCTAGCGCGATACATCGACACTGATCTGAAGAGTGGAGAGAGTTTGAATTTGTTGTGTTCAGGACGATACAAGAAGCAATTTAATCCAAATTGAAACGTACCAACCACCACCTCTGCTTTTGCAGCCAACCAAGAAAGAAGCACATATTTGGTGATAATAAGCTTTTAGAAAAATGAAATAAGAGATTTTTCAGCATGAGATCCAGGAAACAAAAAAACGATCGTAAGCCCCGCAAAGTTTTGCGTGTGAGTTTTGTTCACGCTTCGGATCCAACCGGACAAATCTCGAAGCGGAGGGAAGAAGTTAACCTGTTGTTGTGGAGGTTTTTGATGGCGACGGCGGTGCCGTCGCGGAGCACGCCCCTGAATACGACGCCGTACCCGCCTTCCCCCATCACGTTGGCGGCGGCGAGCCCGCCCGTGGCCTCCTCCATCTCACGGTGCGTGTACCGCCGGCCCCACCCGCGCCGCGCCGCCGCCTCTGGAATCTCTGCATCGCTGCCGCCGTGGTCGCTCACGGTGCTCTCGCCGTCGTCGCCGCAGCCGCTGCTCGTGGCCGTCTCGCCGCTCGTCCTCGCGAAATGCTGCGCGAGGATCAGCGGCGCCTTCTGCTCCGCCTTGATGGCCTCGATCGGCGGTTGTTCGAACGAAGCGGGGCGCCACCGAGCGGCGGCAGCCTCCTCGACGTCCTTGTTGGCCGCCGGCGCCGGCGGCGGCATTGGCACTGCTTGATGTTGATGATGCGCATGCACGCGGTGCTTGAGGGACTTGCTGGCGCCGGGGCGGTGCGGGCACGGGGCCAGGCGAGGTGTGCGGCGGCGGCAGAGGCAGACGATGATGCAGAGAAGGGCGAGGGCGGCCGCCGCGGCGCCTGCGGCGACGAGGACCCAGGCGCGGAGGCCGAGGACAGGGGTGCGCTGCGAGAGCCAGTCGACTCTCGGGACGCCGACGTCCAACACGGACGCCAGCGCCGTGGGCCCCTGCTGCTTGTGCTGTGGATGGAGATGGTGGCGCGGCGGCGCAGGCGTGGGGGAACGGGGGTGTCGGTCCTGGGGGCTGCTCGCCACGCGCCGCGCGGTGTGCTGGGGTAGCGCCCTCGGAGTCATGGCTGCGCGCCGACGCTGAGCCGTGGAAGCTCAAGCTCGTGGAGTTGTAGCTGTAGGTTCAGTTTCCATTTAATTAGGGCTTTCCAGTTAATGGGACTACCGTTTAGATCCACTTGAAACTATAGTT